AGCACTCTTAGGGCCGCGTTATGTCGATGGATATAGGCCGAGACCGCATATGCTGAACATGCTGATAGCAAGTGCATTAGAGTCTCGAGCGCCTCGCGGCAGGCCCTGCACGTTGTGTCAGGAACCTCTATACCAATCACGCGACTGCGGTAGACTAAGGTGTTGAAGACACCATCCTGGCAAGCCATGATGAACCCCTCAGTTTCCGACTTCAGCCCACTCGACCTGAGAAAAGCAAACGTCAGGCGCTTTGATAAGCCAATGTCTCCAATGTTATTGAAGAAGATCCCATGCATTGGCTTATCCTGGTGTCTCCGCAGAAGTAAGGTGAGATTCAACTTTTTCAAATGGAACACCCTGTATTTTTTCATCGGTATGAAATGTTTTAACATTTCACTGAATTTTTTATCGGATATACAATATAAAAAACATGTTTTACAAATTATACCCAGTTTTATTAATTGTTGTAACCACAAAAGGTTATCTGGATGGCCAAGCCACAGGCCCACCCCTGCCTATCCATTTTTGATTGAAATGATCGTTGAGGTATACCCGTATCTCAGTTTTAAAATGTGGTGGTGAACCGTCTTGTTGTAGCCACGTTCTAAGTGTTGTTCCATATGGAACCCTGTCCAATAAATTCGAAAACTCATGCGGAAAAAATCTTACATATTTTCTTCCAGTGAAATCAGTATGCGAGAAAATATTTTTGAAAGGTAGTTTTTATCGACATGACTGCAAAAAGAATTGTGCAGTTCGAAAAATTGTTTCCTCTGATAGCAATGGACCGAGGGAATCTTGTTGACTCACCCTGTATATACACAAGAACTTCATTTTAAAACCATACGTATCTGATATTTCAGCTCTTTCTGAAGCACTCTGTATGTTTTATAAGTTTTGATCAAATACCTTTCTTTTGTAAAGCAAATCAAAACCCGCCGCTTACAAACATACAAGTAGTTGTAGATTTCCGAATTCCCTTGGCAACACATTTTTGAAACATTTAACTCATCCATACCTTTAAATTTACACAGTAAATCACAGGTGAAAATTTTTAATAATTTCATCACACTTCTGTCGATTGCTTCGCCAAAATACTTGCCTTCAAAACAATAATGCTGACACGAATTTCAACAATGTTTACTGTTAATATCACTAAATAAACAACTGGGGTTTCTTGAGACACACTCACCTTCAAAAAGTATTCTACTCTGGTTCATTTCATAAAGTACCTGCACGCACAAGAACTGTCGAAATTTTCAAGAAACACTTTTTATGGTTTCCGTGTGACAAAAATCGCTTGAATAAGGAGTCTAACGTGTGTACTCTCTTTTCTCGTAAAATCCGTATAAAATTCTATTATCAACTCCCACTTTTCATCTTTCTTTGCCAAGATCCAAGCTATTATTAATTGAATTTATTGTAGTTTTTTCCGCGATAGCTCATCAGAGAGATCTTGATTCCGCACTCTCTTCGCGACAATTCTTTGTATGAGTGATAATATGCTCAATTAAAATTACAAGCGTGATATACAGAGATAAGACTAACTAGCATGATCATAATTTATCAATTGGTAGAAAGCACTATCTCTAAACCTTTGCTCTGTAAATATTGAATATTTATAATATTTGAGAATTATCACCGAAAAGAGAGAATCACGTAATTGTTATTCGAAATGATTGCTCTCCATGATAGTGTTGTGTATACTTCTTGAAATTTGTCAACAAAAAATAATAGTCTACTTTCATGTTAATTACCATCTTTGGATATTTCTAAATAATCAAAAATGTGTATGAAGACGGTTTGTGTTATTTATTTCAGAGTATATCCTGGCATTCTAATCATTCTAAACATGTCCTGCTTTCCGGTGACCTCGGTTTATTTTTATTTGCCATTCCCACCAAAAATTATTCCATCTCTCTGCTCGATTAGCATATGTCAACCAGCTTCCAGCGAATAACTTTCGACGGAAATAATTTAATCTGGAATGATATTAGTGACAACAAAACGCATTCAATATTCAAATTTTTGATGCGAATCGTTAATCGCAGAATAACAATGTCATTGAGCGTCCATACATTATGTAGGTAAGTACTGAACATTTCCGTGCGAATAGTTTGTTTCAATGTTAAACCCTTTAATGAATCTCAACACAATGGTTGTTTTATACAGTGCATTCCATTTGAAACGAGCCACCCTGAATAACTTTGGTTACAATGATTTCCAAGAAAAATAAAAAAACACGTCACACACATTTTAACATATTCACATTTGATGTTACTTTTTCCCTATCGCACCCCCAGAGCACGTCACCAATTTTTTTAAATGGATCACCCTATATTGTTTCGCGTTATCAGATGCGTTTTGCGTTTCTATGATGATATATTTCAAACAAAGTATAAAACATATGGTCTGAAGCTTATGGTTCGGGTACTACAAATTATTTGGAACAATGATTTTCAGGAAAAATAAAAAACACCTCAACAATAGTATACAGGGGGATACATTTTGACTTATTCACATTTGATCTAACTATCCCCATCGCCATTTTTTAATGGATCAATTGTTTTGCATTATAAGAATTGAAAATAAGCCACCCTGAATGAACTTCTGTACAATCTGTTACCTAGGTTTCATATAGGTGTTTTTATGAAGTATACGTCAAAAAAGTCTTATTTTGCCTAGTTAAGTTTGAATTCGATATTCTCTTCATTTTATATTTGTCTCATTCTACAACAACGATTACCTACCAGGTGAAGTTACAATTAGTGTTTCTGTTTTTGTGAATTCTGCCCGTATGTTCAATGATAATATAATCATACAGGAAGAAATGTACGACACAAATACGTTTCGGAATTATTGAACAAATTTATGGAAACAGGATCTGTTAACAATAAAAAGCATAACCTTTCAGGAGTTATCACTGAACGAATCAACTTGCATCAGAATTTTTTGTATGAAATTTGTTTGTCGGATGAATGTATGTTTAGTTTGAATGAAGAGGTAAATCGGCAAAATTGTCGATATTGGAGTGATACGAACCGTCAAGTTCATACCCAACGACCTCAAAAACTGAATGTTTGGGCAGGAATTTCAGGTGACCACATCATAGGACCTTTTTTTATAGATGATAATTTAACTAGTGATGAATATTTGGATATGTTGGAGAATCAAATAATACCGAGCATCAATAGGGCAATTGAGGAGTTTTTCAGCAGGATGGTGCACCTCCTCCTTATGAAGCTTCAGTGTGATAACTTTTTGATGATAATTTTCCTGGTCGCTGGATTGGAAGAAGCCATCCTACAGAATGGCCACCAAGGTCTCCGGATCTCACTCCTGTAGATTTCTTTCTATGAGGTCATTTGAAGTCTAAAGTGTATGAGATAGAATCGACAACATTAAAAGATTTGAGAGAGAATATCATGAGGCATTGCAGAGAAATAACTCCCAAGATTCTCAACCATGTGAGGGCGGCAATGGAAGCACGTTTGTACCATTGTATTGAAGTTTTTGAACATTTACTATAGAAATTTTTTTTCTTCTCTTTGTCCAGTCATCATATTTTGATTCAAGAATTAATAAAAAACTCTTTTTCTGATTTATTGCTTGCATATTTGTCACCAGAACGAATATTTTAAAATTTCGCCTCCTGTACAATTGTTGACCTGTTCTTTTATTTTTCCAGGAAATTATCGCTTCTGCTCATCAAGGAGCATCTGATAATGCGAAACAATATAGGGTGATACATTTAAAAAAAATACTCTTTTTCTGATTTATTGCTTCCATATTTGTCACCAGAACGAATATTTTAAAATTTCGCCTCCTGTAAAATTGTTGACCTGTTCTTTTATTTTTCCTGGAAATCATCGCTTCTGCTCATCATGGAGCAGAAGTGATACATTTAAAAAAAATGGTGACATGCTCTGGGGGAAGTAACATCAAATGTGTCCCCTCCTGTATAATATTGTTGACGTGTTTTTTATTTTTCCTGCAAATCATTGTACCAAAAGTTATTCAGGGTGGCTCGTTTCAAATGGAATGCACTGTATATTGTTCACGATGAAAGAAACAGTTTGAATTAATACGGTTTGTAAGCGACTCTTGACAAAGAACGGGAAAAATTATTCAGCACGTTCATTAAAGTTACAGTCAGCGGCTCCATCAAACTCTCAAGTGGGGTTTCTCGAATAGATCAAAATTTGTTGTATCTTCAACTATATTTCAGCAACCGATCAAACGAAGAGATAAACCGTATAACTTTCGATTCTGTCTCAGCTACCTATCAACATGTGATTCCTAACACGGAATGGACGATAGCAAGTGAAAATTGAGCGTTCAGCGTGGGGCTTAACCACCGACCGACACGGCAATCAATTCGAGTGAGGGAACAAAGCACCCACGTCGAACCGACTGGCTACTGACCGAGATGACAATCAAAGAAAAGTATTTACAAAAAATGAAAATTCAAATTTAAAAGATTTTAAGCCAAGTTACTTCACGACGTTTCGATTGTTAGTATCCACAATCGTCTTCGGGTGATAACTGGACTTATTCACCAATCGATCATCAGTTCAGGCAGGTTGGAGCCTAGCTCCCTTAACCTTGCGGCTGGCGTACTGGACTTATTCCTCCGATATCTAACTATTTGAAGGTCATTGGAGTGATTGAACCTATCCCCTCTTCCCTCCCTCCGCTTCATCGGTTTTAACGGAAGCTGACCGTTTGGCGGGAGTTGGTCGTGTTTCGCTTGATTAGAGGTTTCCATTTGTCGCGTATCTCTACGCTAGCTTGGCTTAATGCGTTGTTGGACAACATTTATGCGGCTTTATTGAATTTTCTCCTAAACCAGTGTTCCTCCTTGTGATTTCAGCTTGAGCTCAATTGATGTTTTGTTGATGAGTCCAAACATGCTCTGCTATTCAGGAATAGCAGTCCTTACATTCAATATCGTAAATTCAGACTTTTCCGGATTCTCGACTTTATCTTTTGGACTTTGAAAAACCTTCATACCTAGTTTATTAAAAATCTTTCCAAAGTTTTTCGAGTATTGGTGGTATGGAACTGAGATATATTTATCTTGGTTTTTGTCGTTATTAAAAGTCGAGATTTCGTTCATTCTCAACCTAAACTTCTTCTTTATTATGTCCTCTACAATATCCCTCGAGAAACCGTTAGTGGATGCTATTTCCTGTATTGTACGTTTTTGTTTTGTGAACCTTTCATGTGTGAGAGGAAAAGTCAAAAGAAGATGCACTAGAAAATTCAGCCCAGCACGTTTGTGCTGTCCACGGTGATGTGAACTGTCAGGAATATACCTGTACGTGCTTGTTTCTTTCTAAATACATCGTATTCTAGCCCTCCATATTGGCTCCTCATTACCAAAAAATAGGTATCCATGATATAAATAGGGATAGCTTTCTAGTATGATTAGTTTGATCTTCCTAATTATTTTTTGGTAGTTTCATAAATAAATTATTCAAAAATTTGAGGGAGGCGGAAAAATCATATGTATAACATGGGGGTAAAGTGAGTTTTCCTCCCTTGAATGATTACTGCCCGACCGAGGACGTAGAATCAACAACTGATTTATTCATAAAAAAAATATTGAATACTAGTACAAAAAAGGTGACAAATAAAATACAAAAAAAGAGAAAACCTTGGATAACCTCAGCTCTAGTAAACTCTGTCGCCAGAAGGAATATGTTATTCAATCAATGGAAACTTAATAAAGAAAATCATTCTCTATCAAGACAATTCAAAACGTATAGAAATGAATTAAATACATTGTTGAAGAAATCTATGGCTGATTATTATAAGAAAGAGATCGATAAAAATAAAAACAGTGCAAAACTACTATGGAAAACAGTAAAAATGTTGCTTGCTCTAAACCCTCCAAAAGCACGGAATTAACAGAAAATGAAAATGGGGATAACAAAACCACAACTAACCCTATAGAGATTGCGGAAAATTTTTTAGAGCATTATACTAAAATTGCTGAGGACCTAATGCTCAAAATAGGAACTCCTCGGAATTATAAAGAGCTCAGAACTGTTAACCAAAGCTTAAGGTATTTAACAGAAGCAAATTTACATGAAGTTGAAAAAATAATTAACAACTTAAAAAAACACAAAGCACCAGGAATAGATGAAATATCGGTAGAAGATCTGCAGCATATAAGGGAAAATATTAAAGAGCCGCTAACACTGCTCATCAATAAAATACTTACGACAGGATATTGGCCTAAATCTTTAAAGATGACAGTGATGAAGTTTGGGGTACCTCAAGGCACCATACTTGGTCCAATTCTTTTCACAGTATATCTTAATAACCTGTTTAATCTCCACACTGATGGGGCAATTATAAGCTACGCAGATGACACAGCAGCCGAAAACTGGAACTCGCTCATCACTAAAGCACAAAATGACTTTAAAACAATCATTGATTGGCTCAATTTCAAACTATTGACTATAAATTTTTCTAAACCAAAATATTTAGCCTTTTCAGTGAATAACAAAAACTTACCCAGTCTTCAACCCCTTGAAA